ATAATAACGTTCCCAGAACGTTGCAGGGAGGTTATTTTTAAACAAACTTAAAATAACTTCGAGAGAACGACATGGTTATTTTTGGGTCATTATTTTGCAACCATAAAATAACGTTCCCAGAATGCTACAGAGAAAAATAACTTAGACAGAACGTTCCCTAATGGATATTTTTGGTTTATTATTTTGCAACCATAAAATAACATTTTACAGAACATTGCAGGGAGGCTATTTTTAACCCTAAAAATGGCAAGACCGTAAAGAGACATCAGAAAATTAATTGATTGCTATTTTCCATCTTATTGGGACACAAATAATACAAACTTGATAATTTTTTTTGCTATAAAAATTGCTATAAAATCTAAGCCATGTGTCTAACCAAGTTATGCTCCAAATTTGAAGTTGATATCACCAAAATTGTGGTTCCTGTGAGATTTTGTTTGGGCACTATACCAAAAATAACCACTGGGTGACACCCAAACTCTAGTGAATTATTTTGATTCAGTTTTCTGTCACAAATCAATAATTTTCTGTCGCAATATCACTTCTATTACAAAACAGCTACCAAATATGGAGCCTTGACTGTCAGACCTTTCCAACGATATGTGATTTGTCGAGATTACAAAAAGATTTGATTTTCTAACACATCTGTGTGTGTTTGTTTATTGCTGAAGTGTGTTGAGATGTCTTCTTCTGCATTCTACTGTACTTTCCCTTCAGCCTGAGGCGCATTCACTTCACCTCTGGTCTGAAAAGGCTTTTATATTTGCCAGAAATATAATTTTTTTTATTTTAAAACAAACAAGCAAGCCCTGTCCAGATTTAAAAAGTAACGCGAAAGTAACGTAACGCACTACTTTCCATAAAAAGTAACTAAGTAATGTAATTCGTTACTTTTTATGGAGTAACGCAACATTGTAATGCATTACTTTTAAAAGTAACTTTCCCCAACACTGGTTACAATATTTCCCCTTATTCACCTTTGCTGTCCTAAACTGAAAATGCAGCATCTTTAAATGCTTCATTTGTCTGTGTTTTCTGTGTGGTAGGTGGTCATCTTCTGTCCGTTCACTGGCATCGAGCAGACGTTCCCCTGCTCTAAATGGCTGGATGAGGACGAGGCTGACGGGCTCATCGAGAGGGAACTGTATGAAATGGTGTCGCTCAGGCAGAAGAGGCAAAAAAGTGAGTATTGCTCATAATGTGAGAGAGAAGCAGGTTTTGTGAGGTTAAACGGATCTCCTGCTCCTCAGAGCATCCCTGGTCTCTCTGGATCTGGACGTCAGATCTTCCAGGCGCGGGAACAGACGCATCTGTCTTACTCCAGATATACGGAGAGAAGGGCAAGTCGGACGAGATGAGACTCACCAACAAAACCGATAACTTTGAGCAGGGCCAGCTGGACAAGTTCATGGTAAATCTGCCGTTTTAAGGATAAAAATTGGTGATTTGGGGAGAAATTACCAAATGGCAAAATGTGTTTTAAAATACATAAAATGGCTATATACATTTTTTTAATTATTAATTTAAACATTTCATATGACATTGTAAATAGCCATTTTGCAAGGGTGGATACATTTAATTAAAGAATTGGTAAATTGAGTTAATTTTCATACCACAAAGATGTGTGTGTAAAACTAAAACACATTTTGTGATTGGAAATATTTTCTTATATATCTGTGTTATTTTGGTGTCTCTAAGATAATATTTCAGTTCATAAAATCAGCAGTTCAAGCTATCAAATCTGCACTGAATATGATCCATTTATCATCTGTTTTGTCAGATTGAACTACCGGATCTTGGGAAGCTGTTTAAACTCAGAATCTGGCATGAGAAGAGAAATCCCTTCGCCGGCTGGCATTTAAGTCGAGTAAGAGCATGAGATGCTGCTGCATTTAATGTTTCACACTTGATATCTGAATAACAGTCTTCTTTATGTCTCCTAAGATGTCCATAATGAAAACTTTAACAAAGGAAACATATAAATTCCCATGTGAGCGCTGGCTGGACGCTAATGAGGACGATAACGAGGTGGTGCGAGAGCTTCCAGCCACCGGAGATCTCATCCCTGAACCTCTGCCACGTACATTATTATGCATTACTATTATCGTTAGCATTAGTCTACTAGATCATTTCGCTCTCTAATGGATATTTCTGTTCCTCCAGTTATCAAGTATCGCATCACAGTGTACACCGGGAGCGTGAGCGGTGGAGGAACAGATGCACATGTGTTTCTGTGTCTTGTCGGGGATCAGGGCAACACCGGCGACCGCGCTTTGATCAACTGCAAAAACAACGTCAACAAGTTTGAGAAGGGCAACGTTAGTGGCGTTTCTGTGGAGCTTCTATGATGTGTTTGTGTTTGTCCATTTGTCTCTCTGACGCTCTGCCCTGCAAACACAGAACGTTCCCCTAACGTTAGCATTTGGTTCCCGTTTGGTTATTCTTCGAGAACCAAATAATAACGTTCCCAGAACGTTGCAGGGAGGTTATTTTTAAACAAACTTAAAATAACTTCGAGAGAACGACATGGTTATTTTTGGGTCATTATTTTGCAACCATAAAATAACGTTCCCAGAATGCTACAGAGAAAAATAACTTAGACAGAACGTTCCCTAATGGATATTTTTGGTTTATTATTTTGCAACCATAAAATAACATTTTACAGAACATTGCAGGGAGGCTATTTTTAACCCTAAAAATGGCAAGACCGTAAAGAGACATCAGAAAATTAATTGATTGCTATTTTCCATCTTATTGGGACACAAATAATACAAACTTGATAATTTTTTTTGCTATAAAAATTGCTATAAAATCTAAGCCATGTGTCTAACCAAGTTATGCTCCAAATTTGAAGTTGATATCACCAAAATTGTGGTTCCTGTGAGATTTTGTTTGGGCACTATACCAAAAATAACCACTGGGTGACACCCAAACTCTAGTGAATTATTTTGATTCAGTTTTCTGTCACAAATCAATAATTTTCTGTCGCAATATCACTTCTATTACAAAACAGCTACCAAATATGGAGCCTTGACTGTCAGACCTTTCCAACGATATGTGATTTGTCGAGATTACAAAAAGATTTGATTTTCTAAAACACAAGCCACAAAATCACAGAGTCTTTATACACTGAACAAAATTATAAACGCAACACTTTTGTTTTTGCCCCCATTTTTCATAATTTTTCATAGTTTAATACGTAATTAAAAAATTTACGGTTGTTTCGTTTTTACTGGCGAACTGACTAACATTCATTTATCGATCTCTTTATTGAGAAATTACTTATAATTACTATAAATATGAGAGTAAATACGATTTCTGAAAGCCTAAATGAAGAGAACATGAGAAGTTTTTGTTTACACAGACTAAACTGTGACTTAGGCCTACAATTCAGGTAAGAAATAAATGTAACGTTACTGATATCCTACTTGTGAAAAAATGTCATAGTTTAAAGTTTAAAAATCATATATTGTGTTTAAGTCATTGCTGAAGAAATCAATTTGAAATACAGTAAATCTTACATATTAATGGATAAATGTAATTTTATTTAATCTTCCATGTGATTGTTGATGTGCTTGGATTATTTTTATTAATTAAAGCTGCAGTCCGTAACTTTTTTGGGGTTAAAAAATATCAATTTGAAATTAATTTTTGAGCAAGTACATAACCAGCCAGTGTTATCTCCTTAGCTTAGCTTGATTCACAACGGTTAGCTTATAATAATGTTTTCTAATTTGAGAGGTACAGGTAGGAATTCGAGCTAAATTCGAACATGCCGCTGCGTCATTCCGTCACGTCTGAAAACATAAAAAGTTTTTGCGGCTAGTAGCTATATTGCATGTGAGGATCCTGCATATGACGGATAGTTTATAGCCTTTTCTCACAGCAGCTGGAATTATTAAACATCATTTTGATAGCAGATTGTAATACAGAAGGATTATGTGTTTATGGAACACATGTGACTGAAATTAAATTATATTCCAGTTTTAAATGTGCATCTGATTACAGATAGCCTACGTGGGATTACACAAGTTTTGTATTTTAAAGAGAACCCGGAAGAATAATTTGCTTTTTGGGTTAAAATAATTTATTTATATGAAATTCAAATGGTTTGACAATTATAGATTAGACTGTTCAGAAATTGAAACCTACACGCTAATCAAACAATATACACATTCACGCAATGCTGATGTTGTTAACATTAACAATTTGAGAACAGAGTATAACAGTAATAATAATTTACACGGCTTTATGTGATATGAGCTAACCGAACGTTAGATTTAATCACCATTGGTAGCACGATTTGTAATGTTTTTTTCCTCAGTTGGTCAGAACAAAAGTGGCCGACTTGTTCAGATGACAATATCCAGTGAAAATTCTTATTTGGGTCATATATTCCAAGACGTAGGTTAGAATCTGTTATTCCTAAGTACAGTATCCACACCGGTGCGGTGACTGGCAGCCACACATTCACCTCAAAACATTAGATTCATCCGCGCTGGAGCCACGCCGGTGCACAACCCACATAAAGAAGATAATTCTGCAAATAACTGCAATTGCAGGTTTCAAACAGAGATGGTGACAAAGAGGCAAAACTTACGGGATGCAGCTTTAAACACTAAATACAAACAAGATATAATTTGTATAATATTGATTATAGGCATCAATACATCCATCTTCCATACCATTTATGCTATTGGGCATAAACGTTAAAGTAACGTTAGAGTAACAGGGCTGTACAGTGCGACATATATGTCTATATACGTCTCAATATAATGGAAAATGCCACATGCATTCACATCAGTGTTAGCTCAGTGGTAGAGTTACTCTCACGGGACACTGCACAATCACAAAACAAAATTTTTTCCATCTGCTTTAATGCAATACCGATTAAACATTTAATTCACGTGCTGTTCTGCATGCGCTTTTTCTGAGTCTGAGTTTTTCTGCATCTGATTGATTTCACGTCTAATAATGTCAAAAACACACAAGGTGTACATATAAACACAGTTGGTTATGTCTAAAATTAAAGTAAACAGTTGAGAGAGAAACGCTTGCAGTTCTTAAAGGGACAGTAGCTATAAACATGCTGCCGACTGTCATTAAAGGGATAGTTCACCCAAATTGTTTTATTTCTGTCATTATTTACTCACTCACATTTTGTCCCAAACCTGTATTGATTTCATTCTTGTGCTGAACACAAAAGAAGATATTTTGAAGAATGTGAATAACCAAACAGTAGCTGGTCCACACTGACTTTTACAGTAGGAAAAAAATACCATAGAAGTCACTGTGGACCAGAAGCTGCTTGGTTACCCACATTCTTCAAAATAACCTTTATGTTCAACAGATGAAAGAAACTAATTCAGATTTAAAACAACTTGAGTAAATGATGGTAGAAAAATGAAACACTATGACAGAATTGAAAGACAGATGACAGAATTTTCATTTTTGGTGAACTATTCTTTTAATGTTAATAAAACAACAAAACACAAAGAAAAATCACTCACTGCTCATAGTCAGTTGCTTTAAAAAAGTATAATAGATGTATATAGTGTATACAGTGTTTTATATTAATATTTGTTCATTCAATTTCTTGAATGTTACTGCTAAATACTGTACCTGAAAAATAAAGCACTATTTGTTTTATTTGTATATTATGTGTATTTGTAATGTATATCTTTGTTCATATTTTCTAATAACAAAGATAAAATAATGACAAAGATTTCTATTTTTGCTCACTTTGACCTAAATGTCTGCCATTCTTGTTTATTTTATATTTTGTTAAAGGGGTCATATGATGCGATTTTCAATTGTTCCTTTCTCTTTGGAGTGTTACAAATTCTTGGTGCATAAAGAAGATCTGTAAAGTTGCAAAGACTAAAGTCTCAAATCCAAAGAGATATTCTTTATAAAAGTTAAGAGTTAACCACGCCTACCTAAAACGCCTCATTTAAACACGCCCCCACATATCTACATCACTAATTTAAAGGATTTGCCACTGATGATTCAAACGCAAGTTTTGGGCAGTAGAGTAGCACTTGTAGTTTGTCATTTCTCCGATCACTAATGCATGATTTTATGTTTACATGCAATGCAACGCGTAAAAAGACAGTATAAGTCATTATAATCCATAATTATGTCCCCACTGGATGAACAAATGCCTCGTTTATAATGGGTTTTCATGTTTTTGAATCATCGCTCCGGCCGGACAGGGCATCATCACAGTATGGTGAGGGTTGTAACATTTTCGTCACATGCTTGAGGTATTCGGCCAATCACAACGCACTGGATAGCTGGGCAATCAGAGCACACCTTGCTTTTCAGACCGATGAGCTTTGTAAAAATCGACGCGTTTCAGAAAGGCGGGGCATAGAGGAGAAACAATAATGTACAGTATGTGGAAAATAATGTTTTTTGAACCTTAAACCGCATAAACACATTTAATTACACCAAATACACAAAATAATGTTCTTTTTAGCAACACCATATGACCCCTTTAAGGTGTAAGAGGTGTTATGTTTCTGCACTGTTCCATTTTTAGCAAATTAAGAAAACTTTGTCTAAAACAATTTTAGTGATGATTTGTGTTTTTTGTGCTCTGTATGGAACATCAATGCCTGTTTGTTTTCAGACATGATAACAGACGTTTTATACTTGTGCTACAACTGTTTGGCCTGTGCAACAAAACTTTCAACCTCTGTAGCACCAGTGCTATGTGAAAAAAAGTTAACGTACAGCCCTGAGTAACATTCTAGAAACCAAAAACTAACGTTCTATGTTCGTTAAGAAAACCTTCCTGTCTAAACAAATACAAACCTTAAAATAGAACGTTCTGGTAGCCAAACTTTATTAGCTGGGTGTTCTGTGTATTTGTCACAGGCGGATGAATTCATCATTGAGGCCGTGTCCATCGGTCAGGTGCGCAGGATAAGAATTGGTCACGACGGCCACGGCGGAGGCTGCGGATGGTTCGTGGATAAAGCAGTCATCAGAGAAGAAGGCCAGGCCGAATCACAGGCCGTCGAGTTCCCATGCAACAGGTTACCGTCAATCCATTAACTGGAACCCAAAGCGTTGGTTTAATGAGTTAGTTCACCCCAAAATTAAAATTCTGTCATTAATTACTCACCCTCATGTCATTCCAAACCCGTCAGACCTTCGTTCATCTTTGTTCTAACACATATTAAGATATTTTTGATAGACAGCAACGCAACTGCAATGTTTTCAGTCCCAGAAACGTAGCAAGGACATCAGTAAAATAGTCCATGTGACATCAGTGGCTCAACTTCAATTTTGCAAAGCTACAAGAATACTTTTTGTGTGCAAAGAAAACAAAAATAACAATTTATTTAACAATTCTTCTCCCTGAGTTACCGTCTTCCGCCATTTTGGAGAGTACCACGACACATGTGCGTGCTTTCCCCAGAATTTAATCAGTTGTGTTGCTGTCTATGGAGGGTCAGATTCCATCGAAAATATTCTAGAGGAACGAAGGTCTTACGGGTTTGGAACGATATGAGGGTGAGTAATTAATGACAGAATTTTCATTTTTGGGTGAATTACCATTTAATGTGCAGAATAGGTCGTTCTTGAGTGACGTTTGTCTTTCTTTTTTTTCTTCTTTTTTTTAACATATCCTCCATCTGTTCAGATGGTTCGACCACAATGAAGACGACGGGCAGATTGTTCGTGAGTTGGTGCCATTCGCAGACGGACAGAGACTTTACAGTAAGATTTCTCCTGTTTCACATCTTGGTTTCCCTTTCTGTCGTTCACGTCGACGTTGTGTTGAGTGTATGACACTAGGGTTCACTCTTGGGAGCATTGGGCTGGAGTGGTCTCCCCCACCCTGCCCCGAGCGCTCGCGGTTGGACGATTGGTTTCTTGGTGCTGACTGTGACACTAAGCTGCGCTCTGCCCCGGTGCCTTTCTTCCCATGGCCATCCTGCAGGTCTACCAGGCCAAGGCATTGAAAGAACTGCACAAGGGTGGTCCCAACCCAGATGTACTGTAGGAACTGCGCTAAGCGATTGACTATGCCTTCCAGGCTACGAAGATCATGGCGCAGGCTCTGGGGAGGGCGATGTCAACTTTAGTGGTCCAGGAACACCACCTGTGGCTCAACCTGGCTGAGATGCGGGAAGCCAAGAAAGTACGCTTTCTTGATGCCCCCATTTCACAGGTTGGTCTCTTTGGCGACACCGGGGAAGAATTTGCAGACGAAGGCCATCAAACACATCCTGCCTCGGCGTGGGTCAGGTCCTGCTCATGCACCCCCGAGTCAGCAGCCCCCATCTGCCCGTCACTGGGGACGGCCCCCTGCGAGGACTGCTGAGGCCCCGCAACAGCTCGGGCCTTCAGTCAAGCTTGACCAACGGCCCACCACTCGCAGGAATGTGGCACCGCCAGCTCGTCATCAGGGCACCAGGAACCCTCTCAAGGCTTCAAAGCGTTCCTGAGATGGGCGACTCAGGGAGGAGGGACCATTTGGCCAGCCTGGATCCACTTCTGGAGGGGGGACGGGAGGTGGATTCGGCTCCACCACAGCTGTCTGCCACCTGGCAGATAGCCACCACCTGGTCAATAAAAGAGCAATTTCCTTTTTCTCTGGGTCACACACACAGCGTTTTTGGCCCTCCCATTTGCAACGGCCAGACGCTGAAACCATGTATCAGAACCTGTTTGGACACAGACACCCTGTCTCCTCCTTTCTCAGGGGAAGGGCACAATTTGGCATCCGTGCCCGGATCTCTGGAACCTTCATGTTTGGTCCCTGGATGGGACCAGGAGGAACTTAGAGACCTTTCACCAGCTGTGGTGAATACATTACTCAGGCCAGAGCCCCCTCGACTAGGCGGTTGTAGGACCTGAAGTGGCACGTTTTTGTGAATTGGTGTTCATCCCAGGGGAAGGACCCTCGGAGATGTAGCATCGAATCTGTGCTCTCCTTCCTCCAAGGAGGCCTGGACAGGCACCTGTTTGCTTCTACACTCAAGGTGTACGTGGCCGCGATTGCGGCTAACCAAGACACCGTGGGAGGCAGATCGGTGGGGAAATATGATCTGGTTATCAGGTTCCTCAGAGGCGCCCAGAGGTTGAATCCTCCGAGGCCACTACTCATTCCCTCCTGGGATCTCACTGTGGTCTTACAGGCCTTACAGAGAGATCCGTTTGAGCCCCTTCAGTCAGTTGAGTTCAGTGCCCTCTCCATGAAGACGGCCCTCCTGATTCCGCTCACTTCTGTCAAGAGGGTGGGGGATCTCCAAGCCCTCTCCGTAAACAAGATTCAAGCCTGGAGTTTGGGCCGGCAGACTCTCACGTTGTCCTGAGATCCTGGCCTGGATATGTGCCCAAGGTTTCCACCACTCCTTTCAGGGACCAGGTGGTAACATTACAAGCTATCTCCTTCCAAGAAGGGGACCCCGACCTGTCTCTGTTGTGCCCAGTGCAAGTCCTACGCACATGCCTAGATCGCAAGCAGAGTTTCAGGTGCTCTGAACAGATCTTTATCTGCTTCGAAGGACAGCAGAAGGGGAATGCTGTCTCCAGACAGAGGATCTCCCACTGGATTGTGGATGCAATCCGAATGGCCTATCAAGCTAGAGGCCTACCTTACCCACTGGGAGTGAGGGCTCACTCTACCAGGGGCATGGCTGCATCAGCAGCCCTGGCGAACGGGGCCTCTCTAGAGGAAATCTGTAGAGCTGCAAGTTGGGCTACGCCTAATACATTTGCTAGATTTTATAATCTGCGAATGGAACCAGTTTCTTCTAGAGTCCTGATTGTCAGTTCTTCCGACTCAGGAGACTGGAAGGGTGTAGAGCTTGCTATCAGTGCCGCTCCCCCCTTGGGTGGTTATGCGCTTATTCATGAACTCTGGACTACCCTTCCATCACATAAGCACTTTACTTAGCGAAGTTCGACAGAGGAACTTGCTATTAGAACTCATTATGTGGTAGGTTCCCTTAAGTGAACTCTTGTATTGGGTTAGTGCTCCACATGTAGCAGCTCCATTTGAGGCCCCATGTGTGTATTCTTCACTGTATTGCCCTTGAGGCTCAGTGTTCCCCTAGGTGCATTTGGTTGTGACACACTGGCTTGTCAACATCTGTGCCCCCGTGGACTCGTGATGCAGTTCGGCAGTTGTGGCGTTTAGTATAGGGAACCCTAGTGTTGTACACTTGACACAATGTCGAAGTGAATGACAGAAATGGTCTCAGTTGCGTATGGTAACCCTCGTTCCCTGATGGAGGGAACGGAGATGTTGTGTCCTTCATGCCACAACTCCGAATTGCTTCTGAGTGGGTTGAGACGTTTCTTGACTCCTCAGAACAGAACGAGTGAGCAGATGCTATGCTGGCGTATTTATACACGGATGTCCGGGGCATGGCCAGCCATGCAAATTCTGCACACCCAATTTCATTGGCCTTTTCTCAAAGATGTCAGAGGTGTTTGGGCTCCCAAGAGCGACCCCTAGTGTCGTACACTCGACACAACGTCTTCGTTCCCTCCATCAGGGAACGAGGGTTACCATACGTAACCGAGACGTTTCACCTGCTGGATGTTAAAGACACACGTCTAGTCATATATAATCTAATTAAGCCAGTAGAGCAGGGATTCTCAAACTTTTAAGTATTATATTTTGTGATTTCATTAATTTTTAATAAGCATTCTATTTTGATTTTGTTTTATTTTAAAATAATTAATTTTTAATTCTACATATTTATGATTTACTTAATTGTTTGTATTTCGTTATTCATTTAAAAAGACTTTTATAAATTATACATTTTTGATTATGATTATATATTTATTATTTTACATTTTTGTTTTAGTTAATTTTTAGCATCTTATAATTGTTTGCTATTTTAAAATGATTAATTTCAATTTTTCACATATATGATTTAATTATTTTTAGTAAGTGTTATATTTTGATCGTTTTTATTTTAGAATTATTTATTTAAATTTTACATTTTTATGATTTCCCGATTTTTGATTTATTTTTATAGTTTTTTATGTTTATTTTATTTTACCGTTTGGTTCAATTGTAGTATTTTATTTTATAGTTTTAATTGTGAAATTATTTCAATTTCAATAGATTTTTCTATTTTTTATTTTGAGTTCAGTTCTATAGTTTTATGATTTAATTTGTAGTATTTTATTTTGATAGTTTTTGTGTTAAAGGTATTTATTTTTATTTTGTACATTTTATGATTACATTTTTTAGTAAGTGTTTTAGTTTGATAATTTTTTATTTTTAAAGTATTTAGTTTTATTTTACATTTTTAGGATATAATACATTTTTACTAAGTGTTTTATTTATATAATTTTAATTTTAAAACGATTCATTTAAATTCTGATGAATTCTTCTTTTTATGATTACATTTTTATTATTATTGTTATTAAAAATTGTCTTTTGAATATTTAGTAAGTGTTTTATTACTATTTATTGAATTTCAATTTATATTTTTATTAATTGTTAGCTTTTCTCATAAACCCCCGTCACTGTTCAGGGGAACTTCAGTTTCACCGAAAACCAGAATTCAGCACAAAGGTCAAATTAGCCTTTTCAGTTCTTAGACCACATGAAAGCTGAATATGAGAAATGTCTGTTTCAGACGTCAGCTATCACATCGCAGTGAAGACAGGTAACGTCAGTGGAGGAAGTTCAGACTCTAAAGTGTTTGTGAAGTTCTACGGTGAGAAGGGAGACACCAGCAGAATGATGCTCGTGGTCTCAGACAACAACCTGCGCAATTACTTCGAGGCGGGCCGGGTGGATGTTTTCACCGTCGACACCGCTGACATCGGCCAGGTATGTGCGCTTTCCTAACAGTACTGTATTATATTTAACAGACACATATTAAACCACCTCATAAACTCATGAAGATGTCTTTCTCAAATCTAGATCAACCGGCTCCTGATAGGTCACTCTAATGAAGGGATGCGCGCTGGCTGGTTTCTGGACAGCGTTCAGATCATGGTGCCAAATCACGGCAAACACTACATGTTCCCCAGTCACCGCTGGCTGTGCAGAGACGAGGCTGATGGGAAGACGGAGGTGGAGATTTACCCCAGTGAAATACTGGACGTTGAACAATGTAAACGCTCATGCTGTTATTATATAGCAGATCCCTGCTGAAAACACACTGCAAACTAATTTTTGCCTTGTTTGCCTTGCCTTGGTTCCAGTATATTCTTAAATCAAGATGCATTTACTTGAAAAGCAAAATGACTTAAGATATTAAGTTTTGGGAAACACTTTAGAACACTGTTCCATCATTACTGAATAACTACACAAGAACACACGAGTAATGCAATATTAGCACTCTAGTAACTACTAGTATCTAACGAGAAATCTGATTGATGAATTAGTAAGTAATAGTGCTTATTTGAATGTGGTAGTTCACTATTAGCTAATCAGTAACTACTATTTTTTCATACCTCCAAGAACTACTGTATACAGGTTCATAATTAATGTGAATAATACATAATGTATAATTAATTCTAAAGTGAAGCTTTTCATTTTAGAACACTGATACAAGTAATTAGTAGTTCCTTTAGAAGGATTTGGTAATACTTGAGTCATTACTAGTGGGTTACCATGATCTTTACTCTAAAATTAATTATGCATAATTCATGTTAATTATGAACCTGTATACAATAGTTCTTAGGAGTTCTCCAGGATATATATATATATATATATATAGTCTTTATTGATTGATTGACCCTAACCCTACCACTAGTTCACTATTAGCTCTATTACTTTCTAAATTGTTAATCATATACACTGATACAAGTAATTAGTAGTTCCTTTAGAAGGATTTGGTAATACTTGAGTCATTACTAGTGGGTTACCATGATCTTTACTCTAAAATTAATTATGCATAATTCATGTTAATTATGAACCTGTATACAATAGTTCTTAGGAGTTCTCCAGGATATATATATATATATATATATATAGTCGTTATTGATTGATTGACCCTAACCCTACCACTAGTTCACTATTAGCTCTATTACTTTCTAAATTGTTAATCATATTTTCTTGTTAGGTAGTAGTAGTTACTACAATGTTAATGGTGCATTAGTCATTTGTTCCTGTGTAGTTATTAATTAACGACGGAACAGTATTGTAAAGTGTTACCAAGTTTTGTTCTGTTAAAAATGTATCAAATGTATGCTCGAAAACAAGAACAGATATCTGCCAATGGAGTCAGAAACATTTTTCTTCTTTTAACCACAAAGCAACATTCTAAGACCTCTCAAAACAAATTAAATTCGTTCATAATTAATGTGAATAATACATAATGTATAATTAATTCTAAAGTGAAGCTTTTCATTTTAGAACACTGATACAAGTAATTAGTAGTTCCTTTAGAAGGATTTGGTAATACTTGAGTCATTACTAGTGGGTTACCATGATCTTTACTCTAAAATTAATTATGCATAATTCATGTTAATTATGAACCTGTATACAATAGTTCTTAGGAGTTCTCCAATATATATATATATATATATAGTCGTTATTGATTGATTGACCCTAACCCTACCACTAGTTCACTATTAGCTCTATTACTTTCTAAATTGTTAATCATATTTTCTTGTTAGGTAGTAGTAGTTACTACAATGTTAATGGTACATTAGTCATTTGTTCCTGTGTAGTTATTAATTAACGACGGAACAGTATTGTAAAGTGTTACCAAGTTTTGTTCTGTTAAAAATGTATCAAATGTATGCTCGAAAACAAGAACAGATATCTGCCAATGGAGTCAGAAACATTTTTCTTCTTTTAACCACAGAAGAAACCACAAAGCAACATTCTAAAACCTCTCAAAACAAATTAAATTGATTGTTCTGATCCCAATAGCAGATTTTTCTTTTTTTTTCTTGTTTTAAGCATAAATTCTATCAATTTTTCAGAAAACAAGGTTTAAGGCCAGATTTACTAACACACAGTTATTTTTGCATCTGACCTGATTAAATATGCATTTGTAGGAGTTTCCCTTTCAGACGCAAAATTTATAGGAGGAGAGTATTAAAATGAATTATGCAACGCTATTTACTAACGTTTGCGCTCATCAAACGCTTTCCAAAAAAGCATGACTTAAAGCAGGTGGTAATTTGCGCTGCTCTTGGTATATTGCGCTGGTCATTATGGAAATGATCTGCTGCATCTGTGTTTTTTAATGTGTGCATTGTTAGTAAATCACACGCAGAATTTTGGAATTGCCTTGTTTAGTAAATCTGGCCCTTAATATGCTTTTGTGTGTCTTAAATGAAGTGTCTTGATTTAAGAATGTTTATATTTATATATATATATATATTATAAAAAAATTATAGTATTGGAATAATTTGTTCTTGTATTTAGAAGCATGAAGTACTATTTCGTTCTTTTGTAATTGTCCTGTAGTGATAAACTATGAGATCACGGTTCTGACGGGGGACGTCTTTGCTGGTGGCACAAATGCCAATGTTTTTATCCAAATCTACGGAGATCAAGGAAAGACGGAGGTGCTCCAAATCGCCAGCAGGTCAAACAACTATGAGAGAGCAGCAACAGACATATTCAAGGTATTGTCAATGTCTAACCATCATCATCACACTCACTCAGTGTCATACTGATCTGTGACGTCTGTGCAACAGATTGAGGCTAAAGAAGTGGGGAAGATCTTCAAGATCCGCATTAGCAATGATGACTCGGGCGTAGGAGCCGGATGGTACCTGGAACGGGTGGAGATCAAGCGTCTGATAATGGCCATGGTCCCCAAAGAGAAGAAAGAAGATAAAAAGAAGAAGAAGAATAAGAAAAAGAAGAGCGAGGAGGATGAAGACGAGGAAGGCGGTGAGGAGGAGATGCGTGAGGTGGTCTTGACCTACTCATTCCCCTGCGATCGCTGGCTGGCTTCTGATGAGGAGGACGGAGAGATGGTGGTGGAACTTCTGCCAGAGGACAACGAGGAGCTGGAGGGTACACACACCTACCAATGTTTGATCATGCGGTTCTGTTAACTATGCTTGACTTTGTCAGTCATCACTAGACTCTAAAACACACTCAAAATAATGAAGCAACTGCAAAGCAACACTCTAAAATCATTCAGAGTAACCACATAGCAACACTCTAAAACACTCAAAATAACCTACAGTAGCAACTGCAAAGCAACACTCTAAAATCCCTCAGAACAACCTAGCAACCACATAGCAACCATCTAAAATCCCTCAGAACAACCTCAAAACAACGCTCTAAAAACACTCAGAACAACCTAGCAACCACATAGCAACCATCTAAAATCCCTCAGAACAACCTCAAAACAACGCTCTAAAAACACTCAGAACAACCTAGCAACCACATAGCAACCATCTAAAATCCCTCAGAACAACCTCAAAACAACGCTCTAAAAACACTCAGAACAACCTAGCAACCACATAGCAACCATCTAAACCCCCTTTAGAATAACCTAGCAATTGCAGAGCTATACTAAAACCAATCAGAACAACCTAGCAACCGAATAGGAACACTTTATAACCACAGAGAATACCTTAGCAACCACATGCAACCAGTTTCAATACTCTAGAATTAAGGCAGTGAGTTTTACATGGGAAAACACCACTAATATTTCTTTCAGATTTAAGAATCCAGTGTGACATTAATACTGGTGTATTATAGTGCACAAATCACAGATTACAGCTGCAGTATCATTGATCAAATCATGGTAAATACTTTCTTTTTTTTAATAATTCATAAACTGTTCCGCCTCAGAAAACACATACGAAGTCCACATCTTCACGGGAAACATGATGGGGGCCGGAAGTGATGCCAACGTGTTCATAAACTTCTACGGAGAGAACGGAGATACTGGAGAACGACCCTTGAGAAAGTCCAATCATCTCAACAAATTTGAACGTGGACAGGTGAGATGAATGACCAGATGAACGTCCAGTCATGGAAGGCAGGCAATCTGACACGATCCCTCATGTTATTCACAGTAGATGTAGTCGTATAGTCTTACTCATCTGTTAATGTGAGCCGATCAATTATTTACCGCACACATCGAATATGCTCCTCTGAATCGAGGCCACCCTGACAGATCCAAGCTGACATCTTGCATGTCATTGTTTTCTTCATGTTTGTGGAAGTAGATTCATGGTTATGTGCTGCTTCAACTTACAGGAGGACACGTTCTCCATCACAGCTGTGGAACTGGGGCCTTTGAAGAAACTAAGGATCCGTCACGATAACAGCCATCAGTCAGCCTGGTACCTAGACAGGGTGGAGATCGTGGACACTAAAGATGACACCACGTGAGTTCACTCAGACTGATTCCTTAGACTCTGGCCTGACACAGATATCAGAACAATCTAGAAACCGAATAGTAACACTATAAAACCCTTCAGAACTACATAACAACACTCTAAAATCCCCCAGAACAGCCCAGCAACCGCATAGCTACACTCTAAAATACACAGAATAACCTAGCAACCGCATAGCAACACTCTAAACGCCCTCAGAACAGCCCAGCAACCGCATAACAACACTCTAAACGCCCTCAGAACAGCCCAGCAACCGCATATCAACAGTCAAAAATACACAGAATAACCTAGCAACCGCATAGCAACACTCTAAACGCCCTCAGAACAGCCCAGCAACCGCATAACAACACTCTAAACGCCCTCAGAACAGCCCAGCAACCGCATATCAACAGTCAAAAATACACAGAATAACCTAGCAACCGCATAGCAACACTCTAAGTGCCCTCAGAGCAGCCCAGCAACCGCATAGCAACACTCTAAACGCCCTCGGAAAAACACACACAACCGCATAGCAACACTCTAAAACCCCTCAGAACAGCCCAGCAACCGCATAGCAGCACTCTAAAATCCCCCAGAACAGCCCAGCAACCGCATAGCAACACTCTAAAATACACAGAATAACCTAGAAACCGCATAGCAACACTCTAAATGCCCTCAGAACAACCCAGCAACTGCATAGCAGCACTCTAAAATCCCCCAGAACAGCCCAGCAACCGCATAGCAACACTAAAATACTCAGAATAACCCAGCAACCGCATAGCAACACTCTAAAACCCCTCAGAACAGCCCAGCAACCGCATAGCAACACTCTAAAATCCCCCAGAACAGCCCAGCAACCGCATAGCAACACTCTAAAATACTCAGAATAACCCAGCAACTGCATAGCAACACTCTAAAATACTCAGAATAACCCAGCAACTGCATAGCAACACTCTAAAATACTCAGAATAACCCAGCAACCGCATAGCAACACTCTAGAATTAGAATACTCAGAATAACCCAGCAGCTACATTAAAAGACACAGATATCACTTCAGGAAAACGGATCACATGAAGATCTGCATGTGTCGATTTATTAATGAGTGTATTGTGTGGAAGCGCCTAAACACACTGTCACATAACGCAGAAGCGTAATGAACGCTTCTCACGTCTAACTCTTCATATTGGGTTACGCTCAGGTATTACTTCCCCTGTAACCGCTGGCTGGCGGTTGATGAAGATGATGGTCAGATTGCGCGAGAGCTCGTTCCTGTGGATGAGGCCTTCATGAGGAAGGACGAGGATGAGGAGGAGTCTGGGGCCACACTGGGTTTAGAGCAGAAAGGTGAACAAAGTGTCAAGGGCAAATAAAATTAGTTTTATGTCAAAAGCAGATCTAAAAATATATGACATAGGATTGAATTATTAAATGTTGCTCAATATGAACTTGAAATTAAATTTTTTTTAAAAATTTACAAATTGAAAACATCTCAGCAAATTCTCTCGAGAATCCAATGATCTCTATACACATTCATTTTTATTGCTTTGTGCTCTTGTTGAAAAGAAAATAGTTGACACAGAAGTATATACTAGATAAGTTGGGGGAACTTTGTCTAGCTGGTTTATGGGTATCTTTAATAAAATGTGAATAATCTAAAAATATGATTTGTGTTGTTATTTTTAATTAAAAAATACATCTTATTCCCCAGCGATTCACCTTGTAACTGGAACATTTTTGCTGAAATTATATTGAAATCATATCTACTTCTAATTTCAGTCTAAAGCAAACGATTGCAAATTTAATAAAATGTGATCAGTTTTGTCTGTCAGTCCAAGTACTTATTATTATTTCATTTATTTTCTTCTTATTCTTTTTGTTTTGTTTGTAGCAATGTCGACAACATACACATTGAGGATCAAGACTGGAGAAAAGAAACACGCTGGAACAGACGCCAATATCTTTGCGATTCTGTATGGAGAGAATGACGACACGGGTGAAAATACACACAATCACCACTTTGAATAAATATAGAGCGTTCTTCACACTATCTGCTAACTATTCGCAGCTTTTCTTGGTTTCTTTCCCTCTATCCTCATGAACTGAACAGGACTCATTAACCTGAAAGCCTCTAAATCACACAAAAACAAGTTTGAGAAAGGAATGATCGATGAATTTATCGTGGAGGCCGTTGATCTCGGAGAACTCCAGAAATTGAGAATTGGCCATGACAACTCAGGTGAGCATTAAATGTGACCGAAAGCCCGTCTGAATGTGATCACACGCTGAGTGACAGCTGGGTTTGAATCAGGCTTTGTTTGGACAGGATTCGCTCGACTGCCTCTAAAAGCTTCTTGCAAACAGTTAGCAACCTGTCTGGTATTAAGTTGCTTGGCAATGGTACAGAAACGCTCCAGTCACATCGCTCTTAATAGCAGCTGTTATTCTCCAGTCATTGGGAATAAATCACAAATAAACCTCTTACATTCCTGGACAGCAGTGATTGAATTGAGATCACACATTGCTTATGTTTCTCCCAGATCTCAATCTGGAGTTACAGGAAAGATCTCAGTATTATCTGAAACTGTGCTCAGATACGCTATATTGCCAAAAGTACTGGAACCCCCCCCTTCTAATGAACAGGTTTGACCACTTAAGTAATTTCCATTAGAACAAATCTTAATGTTAAAGCATATAATGATATTCTAGGGAATTCTTCAACATGGAAGTAAGCCGTTTTCTGTGAATGTACAAGATTTCCGGTTCATTCGCTGCCGTAGGGAAATAACGAGAAGAATCACAAAGTGCAGTAAACAGTAAAACTGTTTGCACTACAAGCCAGTTTGTTCATAATTAAAGGGTTAGTTTACCCAAAAATGGAAATTCTGTCATTTATTACTCACCCTCATGTCGTTTCAAACCCGTAAGACCTTCGTTTGTCTTCGGAACACAAATTAAGATATTTCTGATGGAATCTGAGAGCTGTCTGACCCTCCCATAGACAGCAACGCAACTGAAATGTTGCAGGTCAGAAACGTAGCAAGGAGAGCTGTAAAATAATCCATGTGACATCAGGGGTTCAACCGCAATTATACGAAGCTACAAGAATACTTTTTGTATTCGGATGCGGAGGAGACGAATTGTTGAATAAAGTGTTTTTTTTGTTTTTTTTGCGCACAAAAAGTATTCTCGTAGCTTCCTATAATTGCGGTTGAACCCCTGATGTCACATGGATTATTACGATCTCCTTGCCCAGCAACTGCATAGCAACACTCTAAAATACTCAGAATAACCCAGCAACTGCATAGCAACACTCTAAAATACTCAGAATAACCCAGCAACTGCATAGCAACACTCTAAAATACTCAGAATAACCCAGCAACTGCATAGCAACACTCTAAAATACTCAGAATAACCCAGCAACTGCATAGCAACACTCTAAAATACTCAGAATAACCCAGCAACTGCATAGCAACACTCTAAAATACTCAGAATAACCCAGCAACTGCATAGCAACACTCTAAAATACTCAGAATAACCCAGCAACTGCATAGCAACACTCTAAAATACTCAGAATAACCCAGCAACTGCATAGCAACACTCTAAAATACTCAGAATAACCCAGCAACTGCATAGCAACACTCTAAAATACTCAGAATAACCCAGCAACTGCATAGCAACACTCTAAAATACTCAGAATAACCCAGCAACTGCATAGCAACACTCTAAAATACTCAGAATAACCCAGCAACTGCATAGCAACACTCTAAAATACTCAGAATAACCCAGCAACTGCATAGCAACACTCTAAAATACTCAGAATAACCCAGCAACTGCATAGCAACACTCTAAAATACTCAGAATAACCCAGCAACTGCATAGCAACACTCTAAAATACTCAGAATAACCCAGCAACTGCATAGCAACACTCTAAAATACTCAGAATAACCCAGCAACTGCATAGCAACACTCTAAAATACTCAGAATAACCCAGCAACTGCATAGCAACACTCTAAAATACTCAGAATAACCCAGCAACTGCATAGCAACACTCTAAAATACTCAGAATAACCCAGCAACTGCATAGCAACACTCTAAAATACTCAGAATAACCCAGCAACTGCATAGCAACACTCTAAAATACTCAGAATAACCCAGCAACTGCATAGCAACACTCTAAAATACTCAGAATAACCCAGCAACTGCATAGCAACACTCTAAAATACTCAGAATAACCCAGCAACTGCATAGCAACACTCTAAAATACTCAGAATAACCCAGCAACTGCATAGCAACACTCTAAAATACTCAGAATAACCCAGCAACTGCATAGCAACACTCTAAAATACTCAGAATAACCCAGCAACTGCATAGCAACACTCTAAAATACTCAGAATAACCCAGCAACTGCATAGCAACACTCTAAAATACTCAGAATAACCCAGCAACTGCATAGCAACACTCTAAAATACTCAGAATAACCCAGCAACTGCATAGCAACACTCTAAAATACTCAGAATAACCCAGCAACTGCATAGCAACACTCTAAAATACTCAGAATAACCCAGCAACTGCATAGCAACACTCTAAAATACTCAGAATAACCCAGCAACTGCATAGCAACACTCTAAAATACTCAGAATAACCCAGCAACTGCATAGCAACACTCTAAAATACTCAGAATAACCCAGCAACTGCATAGCAACACTCTAAAATACTCAGAATAACCCAGCAACTGCATAGCAACACTCTAAAATACTCAGAATAACCCAGCAACTGCATAGCAACACTCTAAAATACTCAGAATAACCCAGCAACTGCATAGCAACACTCTAAAATACTCAGAATAACCCAGCAACTGCATAGCAACACTCTAAAATACTCAGAATAACCCAGCAACTGCATAGCAACACTCTAAAATACTCAGAATAACCCAGCAACTGCATAGCAACACTCTAAAATACTCAGAATAACCCAGCAACTGCATAGCAACACTCTAAAATACTCAGAATAACCCAGCAACTGCATAGCAACACTCTAAAATACTCAGAATAACCCAGCAACTGCATAGCAACACTCTAAAATACTCAGAATAACCCAGCAACTGCATAGCAACACTCTAAAATACTCAGAATAACCCAGCAACTGCATAGCAACACTCTAAAATACTCAGAATAACCCAGCAACTGCATAGCAACACTCTAAAATACTCAGAATAACCCAGCAACTGCATAGCAACACTCTAAAATACTCAGAATAACCCAGCAACTGCATAGCAACACTCTAAAATACTCAGAATAACCCAGCAACTGCATAGCAACACTCTAAAATACTCAGAATAACCCAGCAACTGCATAGCAACACTCTAAAATACTCAGAATAACCCAGCAACTGCATAGCAACACTCTAAAATACTCAGAATAACCCAGCAACTGCATAGCAACACTCTAAAATACTCAGAATAACCCAGCAACTGCATAGCAACACTCTAAAATACTCAGAATAACCCAGCAACTGCATAGCAACACTCTAAAATACTCAGAATAACCCAGCAACTGCATAGCAACACTCTAAAATACTCAGAATAACCCAGCAACTGCATAGCAACACTCTAAAATACTCAGAATAACCCAGCAACTGCATAGCAACACTCTAAAATACTCAGAATAACCCAGCAACTGCATAGCAACACTCTAAAATACTCAGAATAACCCAGCAACTGCATAGCAACACTCTAAAATACTCAGAATAACCCAGCAACTGCATAGCAACACTCTAAAATACTCAGAATAACCCAGCAACTGCATAGCAACACTCTAAAATACTCAGAATAACCCAGCAACTGCATAGCAACACTCTAAAATACTCAGAATAACCCAGCAACTGCATAGCAACACTCTAAAATACTCAGAATAACCCAGCAACTGCATAGCAACACTCTAAAATACTCAGAATAACCCAGCAACTGCATAGCAACACTCTAAAATACTCAGAATAACCCAGCAACTGCATAGCAACACTCTAAAATACTCAGAATAACCCAGCAACTGCATAGCAACACTCTAAAATACTCAGAATAACCCAGCAACTGCATAGCAACACTCTAAAATACTCAGAATAACCCAGCAACTGCATAGCAACACTCTAAAATACTCAGAATAACCCAGCAACTGCATAGCAACACTCTAAAATACTCAGAATAACCCAGCAACTGCATAGCAACACTCTAAAATACTCAGAATAACCCAGCAACTGCATAGCAACACTCTAAAATACTCAGAATAACCCAGCAACTGCATAGCAACACTCTAAAATACTCAGAATAACCCAGCAACTGCATAGCAACACTCTAAAATACTCAGAATAACCCAGCAACTGCATAGCAACACTCTAAAATACTCAGAATAACCCAGCAACTGCATAGCAACACTCTAAAATACTCAGAATAACCCAGCAACTGCATAGCAACACTCTAAAATACTCAGAATAACCCAGCAACTGCATAGCAACACTCTAAAATACTCAGAATAACCCAGCAACTGCATAGCAACACTCTAAAATACTCAGAATAACCCAGCAACTGCATAGCAACACTCTAAAATACTCAGAATAACCCAGCAACTGCATAGCAACACTCTAAAATACTCAGAATAACCCAGCAACTGCATAGCAACACTCTAAAATACTCAGAATAACCCAGCAACTGCATAGCAACACTCTAAAATACTCAGAATAACCCAGCAACTGCATAGCAACACTCTAAAATACTCAGAATAACCCAGCAACTGCATAGCAACACTCTAAAATACTCAGAATAACCCAGCAACTGCATAGCAACACTCTAAAATACTCAGAATAACCCAGCAACTGCATAGCAACACTCTAAAATACTCAGAATAACCCAGCAACTGCATAGCAACACTCTAAAATACTCAGAATAACCCAGCAACTGCATAGCAACACTCTAAAATACTCAGAATAACCCAGCAACTGCATAGCAACACTCTAAAATACTCAGAATAACCCAGCAACTGCATAGCAACACTCTAAAATACTCAGAATAACCCAGCAACTGCATAGCAACACTCTAAAATACTCAGAATAACCCAGCAACTGCATAGCAACACTCTAAAATACTCAGAATAACCCAGCAACTGCATAGCAACACTCTAAAATACTCAGAATAACCCAGCAACTGCATAGCAACACTCTAAAATACTCAGAATAACCCAGCAACTG